AAAAGGGGCCTTAAAATTGCGAGAGAGGATGGGGCGGGTCGGCTTTCTTTGATCTACCTATATGTATACTAGCGTTTCGAAACAGACATTTCATTATTCTTCCTGCAGGTTGAAAACTTGTACCTGATATCCTGGGTATAGCGTTCCTAATTTCACGCTGTACAAATTAATCGTTTTCCAAAACAACGCCTACAAACTTTTCCACGTCGGAAAGCGCGATCGAATATTCTTTGTGATGATTTTTCAGTTATGCTTGTTCTTGATTTCTCGGAGGCTTTTAAAAAGCTGAATATCTTTTATCGATACAATTAAAAAGAATTACAGTATTGAGAAAAAAAAAAATTACTTTAACAGCAAATAAATATTACGTCGTTGCATGTATATGTATCAATAAAAAAAATTCTTTCACGCAAACAGCGCAGCAGTTGTTACGTTGTTCTGCGCATTATGCTCTTTTTGTAAATTCTGATTTTTTAAATCCTCGGATGTGAATCTATTAACAAGCAGAATGGGAGGGAAAAAGAACTATTCTTGGTTCGGTGAAAATTGCAAACTAGTAAAGTTCACAGGCCGGCTTTCAGGAACTTTTGCGCGCGAGAAGTGCCGGGAACAATCGCACTAGAGTTCGCCTCGAGTTTTCACAGATACGTGAAGAATTTAAAAAGTACTATTGCGCGCGCGCACACACACACACTGAAATAAAATTAGCTCGTCAGAGAAAATTCATTGAATTCAAGATGACACGATAGAGATGTAACACGGTACGATGCGAAAATGATGTTGAGAGGTGTTTTCCCTTTTATGTATTTAGACGTTACAGATTTGATATTTTTGCAGCAAAATCGAAAGGCTTGACCTGCGACACGACACCGTTTTACTGTTCGTCTATTGCGAGTAAAAAAAATTTGTTTGGCGCACCTGGCCTTTCAAAGGCTCTCACTATGCGCACAACGGGGTGGTTAAAATGGATTTCGCGGATAAAAAAGAATTTTTTCCGTTTTCTGGTGTGCGAACACTCGACCGGGATCAAACCCTCTAATTTTGGCCGTAATGGCTCGTCTTTATTACTACTGGAGGGTGGACTATTGCCGGAGAATCGAAGGAAATTCATAGGGAGTTCGTAGGGTCTCTCATGCGGTGAACTTTAGATAAGTCTCGAATTCTCCAATGTCGGTTGTTTTTTTTTTTGTTTTAAGATTTTAAGAGTCGAATCGTTGTAACGGTATAAACGAGAAGTGCGTTTTAGGTAGATCCGCGGTATTGTTGAATAGAATGCCTAGAACCCATACCTCAAATAAGAAAAACCGTTTCTTGGGACGTATATTGCTGAACAAAAGTATTTTTACGAAATGTGGGTCAAAGCCAGCATCTTCGAGAAGTATTTATATAAATTATTTTAAGATCTACTAATATATTTTAATATCAGTTGATTTTAAAATATAATAGAAAATTATAAAAAAATTAATTATTATTTTGATTATGCAAAACGTAAAAAATATTCTATCGTTTTTTTAATTTTGAGTTTAACAAATTTAATTCGAGCAAAAGTTTGACTGTACCATCAAGATAAATTATATCTTTCTTCAGAAAATTAAATATTTCATGAGAGATTACATTATAAAAGTTAATATAAATGGCAACAAGGATTCTATTATTATTTATGTAATAATTTGTATGTTAATACACACATTTATATACTTTAGGATGACTTGCAGATTTATATACTTTTAAATATACATATATGTATATTAAGATAAAATTAATTAAAATATATTAATCTTAAAATAAAAATTTGGCAAGAAGTTAATTTGAATGTGTATAATTCGAGACTAATAATACTTATTCTGAAAAAAGTCAGTCACCTGCGAATCAGATAAACCACTCACCTGTACCGTTGAGAAATCAGCGGCGAGGAACAACCCTTCCCCGTTGAGAAGTGCGCATTACTGCACAGGTACCTATCTATTTCCATATAGACCTGCTCTTCTATTGAATATGAAAAAAGGGGAAGCTTGGCACCTGTCGTCGGTAGCCTGGTAGCCATGCAAATACTTGCACGCGATGAATAAAAAAGAGGGTTCGTATCGTGGGGAAAGGGTTCTCGTCACTTTATTCAGATTAAGGGCCCGCCTATGGCATTTGAATGCGGACCCTTCGGTAACGCCACTTGATCCTTTTGATTTTACACGGCAAGTGTTTTCACCCTTCATCGCCAAACGGAACTCCGCCCAGGGAGCGATCTTTCCGTTCCGGAGCGGACCGCATGCCACGGCGCTTTAATAATTCATATTAACAATAGAAGACAATCGACGCGACATCGCGGGATAGGTATGTCGTCGGCATGACATTGTTACGACATAACAGACATTTCTCGAACATGATTCTCCTCTTCCTCCTTGAAGTGGCTCTTGCGAGTTTGCTCGGTTACATCGTAGGGGAGAGAAGAATATCGTGAAAACACGGTCAACTTTTTTTTTGCAGCACTTCGGCGAGCATTATCAATTACAATACCAAAGCGCTTTCAGACGTGACTTATAAATCTCCGTTGTAACCGCGAGGAAATTCGTTTGCGCGCATTTATAATAATCGGCTATTAGAATCCGAGCGCGTACATATTATTCGCGCCTCTCTCGTGACTTCGTGTCGGTAGGGGCGTCATTAAAATCAATACCGGCTCGCTCTCTCCTCTCCGCTTCCTTCTCTTTCCTTTCCCTCGCTGTCGTCATCCTTGTTCCCTTATCATCTCCGTCCTTGTCACGCCACGGACGCGAGGGTGGCGGAACCGAGGTAGGGGTTGCCCCTTCCTATATATCCGGTCTGGCGTGCGAGGCGAAGGACGAGGCGCTGGTGGGGAACCAGGACGAAGAAACGAGAGAATCGGCGGGAGAGAAAAAGCACGAGGAAGACGAAACTCGGGGGAGCGAAGGGGGAGGATGGCACGATAAGAGGAAAGGCTGCGTTTGTGATGTGAGGTACGCGGTACATGCGATAAAGAGTGGGGGATGGCGTTTCCATGGCCAATAAGAACCTCTTTAAAGCGCCCTTTTTGCGCGCGAGACTGCGCATGCCGGATTCAAATCTGGGCGAGCTAGGTATCGAGTGGAAGTAGGGGTGGTAGCGGAGGGAACGATGGTGGTGGCGTAGGCGGCCGGAGGTAGTGGTAGTGATAGCGGTGGTGGTGGATGTTGGCTGTATGGAAATATGATAGCGCGATAAGAAAAAGAAGAAAGGCACTGACGCCTATGTGTGTGCAACGCGAAGGGGATAAGCGAACGGTGGGGAGAATGCCACGATTCTCGCGACCAATAAAAGGGCCAGTTTAAAGCGTCTTATTTTTTGCACCGGCACTGCGCATGCTGAATTCAAATCTTGGGAGTGGTGAGGCTGGATGGATTTGTATGGAAATATGATAGGTGAGAGGTGCCCGGGTCGACATGGCGGCCCGATAGGAGAGTTTATGGACGTACGATCATTTCCGTCAATATTTCCGCGATGCATTTCGATATAGCTTTTATAATAACATCGTTAAAAGATATTGTGTTAAAAAATGCGTTGAAAAACAATAAAGATTCTAAAATGACGATAAAGATGAATAGACTTCCAACATATAAAAAGATATTGCTTTTAATATCACAATTAATATGTTATTCATTATATTATTATACTATTTATTTTATCGAATTATGTATCATTCAATCTGCCAAGCTTCTTTACTTTTAAACATTCAAACAGATTACAAATTTAAGTTACAACGTCTGATTTATAATATATTAATTTACTGAGTATTAACGTTCTTATATATTTCTGCTGGCAAGAACATACTTTTGTAGAATATAGCTTAACACAATAATCTCATTGCTTGGCAGATCGCCTTCTCGAGCGATCTCTACCTGTAACTGTATCCACCTGCTGCCACATCCCATCGGTGTCATTGAGCCGTAATACAAGCTCCCAATCTCTAGGCATGACATTCTTACAGATATCTGGAAATGAAATCTCAATAGGTTTATCATGATCTCATCGCGAATACACATCCTTAATATCTTCTAAGTGAATAGTCACAAATTTACGATAATTAATATTTTTTTATTTTTCAAAATGCACAATAATCGAAAGGATAGATAAAATTGTGCGAAATAATATTTTTGTCTTATAGAAGAATATGAAGTGTTTTAAAAATATTTATTCCGAAATTTTTTAAACTATATTTCGGGATTATTTTATTATATCTGAGATGAGTGCAAAATACATTGCAAAATGTATTGTAAAAGGCGCGTAATTATTTGGCTTTCCGGCGAATAATTTCAATAGTCGATTTTAGTGACAGGGCTTTACCTGGGTGGTCCAGTGTGACAGGCTTCCTGCGGCCTCTCCTCTAGCTAATTTAATCTCCAAGCCTTCTCTGCATCCGCATTAACCGCACTACCTCATACTATCTGCGGTTGTACATCGTGTGCGTCCGTGCTTTCTATTTAGATGTTCAGATGATTACATTACGTACGGTGCATTTTTATATCAAATGATTTAACATATTTCAGTTGCTGGCTATAGAAGAACATTTATCGATTGGCACGAGTAGTGAAGCTTCTCGATAATCCGAAGGCTATGCTCAGCCTCTTTTGGTCAGCATTAAAGAAAATCGCGAAAAAACACGCGAATCGAACCGGTCCGGCGCAACTCGCATCGTATTGGCCGGCTCCGGAATCAAATCGAGTTTAATTCTTAAGCATCGGTCACGGAACGGTCTTTAAGTATCAAGGTCTAATCGTCGTCATCTCCGCAGGGTAGGGCAGGTAGTCCAGCGATTGGTCGCGAGCGTTGCATATGCAAATCCGTTCGTCTGCTCTTTCGCTCTCCTTCTCTCTCTCTCTCTCTTTCTCTCCTCGGCTTCGCGGGCAGTAGCCGATGCACGCGAGGTGAAAAAGGCGCGTTCTCGTGCTCGCACTCGCGCTAGTTCCGTGGCCGGAGAACTCGCCTCTGCTTGCCGGGCGGAGCCGTGCGCGATCCACGTTTTCCTGGGATTGGAGGCGGTGTTCCCCACCGACGCGTTTACGAGTCCCCACCGCGACAATCATGCTGGCGGTATCGGCCGCGGCCACGCTTTTCACTCCACACGCGTCTCTCTTTGTCCCGCTCTCGTTTCTCCGCGTCCGCTGGTGCTCTCTCCTCGTCGCTCGCGGCGTTCTCTTCTTCCTGCTCGGAGACCTAACGACTCCCCCACTTCGGCTTACTCCGCTCCGCGGACACGGCCGTGTTCGCCGCGGCCGGTAGGCGGCCAGGCGGGCGTACATGAGTCCTCTAGTGTAGCTGCACACATGCACGCGACAGCATCTGACCGTCGTAGCACTAACCGCCGCTGCCGTCGCCGTCGCAGCGCCGTAGCGCCGTAACTACTGTCGTCGTGACGCGTCGCGTCAAGTTCTGTGCGTCTGCGATCACGCTGCACGAGAGAGGCGCGTCGACAGATTGACCTGACTCATCCATTGACAGCTCGCAGGTAGTTGCTGTCATCGCGCTTTTCAGTCGCGATTATCGGCTGACTCGGCGCGTTGCGTCGTGACGGATCGGCGCTGATTATCGCACGTGTTATTCAAAATAACGTGACCGCCTGAATATACGGCGGTGGAAAAGTGGTGAATCGATTTAGTGAACTAGCTTAGTCGAAATCGCGATCGTTGATAATGCTGGCGAGATAGTGCTCATTGATGACTTCATCGGCGTGTGTTCTTATCTCCGGCACATCGATGACAGTCACAAATGACGTTAGCGTAAAGACTTTCTACTCTTCCAAATATTCAAAGCATGCGCCAGCGAGGACAATTCGGTTTGGACTCTAATCAGGACAGTTTGACAGCTTGCGCCGGTGACAACTGCGCCGGTGTTTCACGTGCTTGACGCTTCGTAGTTGCTCAGCTGATATTTGACAGTCATCTGACAGGAGTGGTGCTTCAATTAAGGGACGAAATTCGGAAGATGCACTTGTGATAAAAGCAGAGATCTTCGATTGGATATTTAAGATTTTTATGCACTTATTGTTGTACTTGTGAAGACTGTTCTTATACAAATAACAACGACGGTTAGGTCTCTGGTGTTTTACCGGCCGTTTAATAGTTGCGTCTTAAATTGGAGTACGCGTGCAATTATACCATTAAAGCGACGTGTACGTGACTGTGAGACTTCTCAATGGGTGTAGTGCGTTCTTAAGAGTACTGTGTTATCAAGAAGTCGAAAACATTGACTAGATTTTTACGTGAGGATACTTTGTCGTTTTTACATGGAAATGGAAACCGTTGTAATTCTTCGAGAACTAAGTAAATTCACGTACAATATAAACTAGATTTTACGTGGACATGAAAAAGTTATGTTGATTGATAAACGGTGAATTTCACAAAGTGTTATTTCTGTGTTAGAAACAGACTGCGAATGCTTTTTTGTTTGTTAATCGATCGAATCGAACTCAAGAACAGTAATTATAAGCGGTCTTCAAAACATTTCACGTGCGCGCGATGATAGTCGACGCAAGGCACTAAGTTGTCAGCGAACGACCTCCCACTGCGTGGACCGGTGCATCCTTCGTCGAGAGCGGAACCCAGCAGGTGACCACGTTGGATCTCGCGGCGTTGGCTGCCTACGGGGGCGTTTCGGGACCCAGGGTCGCGGTGGCGGGCACCGGGGTCCTCGCGCTGCCCGGCCTGATACCCGACAAGGGTCTATCATCGCCCGGAAGCCAGTCGAAGCCAAAGTCCGCAGGGCTGGCGGGTCTCGACAGCGAGGCGGTGCGCCGGTGGGTCGCGGAGGCCGCACGGACCGTCCGGCAAATCCCGCCTCCGGTGATAGTACCGGTGAGCTCTTCGCAACAACAGCAACAACATCATCGTCAGCAGCAGCATCAGCACCAACATCATCATTCCACCCACAGACAGCATCAACAGCCCAGCCCACCGTCAGTGGGACTTTCTCCCTTCGTCCTACCGGCATCGATGACGCAGACACCCAGTATGCATCTGCTGGAAAATAACAACTTGGTCGAGGTTGCCATGGCCCAGCAGCAACAGCAGCAACAATCTCAGCAATCGATACAGAAGCAGAAACAAACGAGCCCCACGAATAATAATACTATAGAAGCCTGGAGGTCGATTCAGGGCGGCCATCAGTGGTGGAGTCCGCCCAGTAACGTTCACCAGGAACAGCAGCAACAGCAACAGCAAATATCGTCGATCGCACAAGTGTCTCAGCCGCAGAGTTTGGTGGCCGGATCGGTGTGCGGTCAGGTGCAGAGGCATCAGTCGCAAGTGCAATCGGAGATCGATCAGCCGCTTGACTTCTCCGTCGGTTCCCTCCAGCAGCAGAAGGTGCATTCGCGCGCGAGGACTATGCACGAGAAACTTCAGGGTAGGATGCATGACAACAACAACGGCACGGCGAGCGGCCAAAAGATCACAAGAGGTGATGTAAACAGGCGTAGCTATAGTCCCAGTGAAGCTAGCACCAGTAGCAGCGAAGACGAGGGCGTCTCTACCGGCGGCAGCCCTTCGGGACCTCTTCGAGGCGCCTCGAGTGAGTGTCAATCAAATTACGCACGTTTCGTTAGAGTCCGCGATATGTTCAGAGTCACCATGATTCGTTAATTTGGTTAATGAAGGTCTCAATTAAAGTGAAGTTATTCGGTTGAGTCGAGTAATTTCGTATTTATTAAACCGAATTTATGTAATTTTTACAAAATTCCTATTGCTGCGATCGCTATTAATATTTTCGCAATTAATGCAAATCTGGAAACTTTCGTAACGTAATGTAATCCTTTTATAAATTGGAGTTAAATGAGTTTGAATGACGTAACGCGTTTTAATCGCGTTGAGTAAGTATACATCAAATCAAGCTCATTATCATTTATCTCGAGCAGTCTTCATTGTTAAAAGTAATGAATATGCATATTGATATAGAAACAAATATAAACGAGATCTCTTTTTATCGCAATTTCTTTTTTCGCTCAATTAACGGAGAATATTGCATGTCATGTAAATTGTTTATTATCGGCGTTGATAGAGAGATGTGTATTAAACAATCAGCATTATCTGATTAAATGTAGATTAACACGCACATAGTTATGATTGCGAGCAACGGAATTGGGCACTTTGTGGAAAACGTTATGTTCGTCAGCTGTCAGCGCAGTCTGCCATTCTCGACGCCCCCGCGTTGCATTGTTGCTCTTCATCGGTGCATTGTGCATCAAGGCATTGTACGAGTCGTGCGACCCCCAATTGTGAGAGTCGATTTATCCGAAACGACTGGATTTTGCATTCATGTACTCTCATTTCCGCTATTCTTTGCGCAAAGCGCGTGCCGATTGAAGATTTTGGGGAAAATTTTTGGTTATGGCAAATTTTAGAAGAAAGAATCGACAGCAATATCTACGCTTGTGACAATCAACGTAGTATTTACGCGACAGTAATTTGTTATTTCAATATTTCAACATATTTAATACAATACATTCAATATTTCCGCGAAAGTAAAGCAATAATCTTGCGTATTAACGTATGGAATATACGTTATTGTAGATTATACTAAGATATTATGACGTTCTCACGCTGACAACGATGACTAATCAGTACCCGTTAGGGATCCGCTATCTTGTCAACGCGCATTCGCGTATTTGCAAAATTGGCTCGACTGCTAAGACTGAATTTAAAGATTGATATCGTACGCATGTTAACAGATAGCTGAGTCACTGTCATATCTATCCGAAACGGAACGCCGATTGTGTAATTATCAATTGACGTTGGTCACGTCAATTACTCGCTTATGATATATGTTCGGTCCGCTCTCCATCTTTCGGCGTTATTAATTAGGTGCAAAGCTGCACACGCACGGGTTTATTAATAGCCACGGCGCACGCGCCACACGTTTCTGGTTTCGATTCAGTATTACCGGTTTTCTGATAAACGCACGATTCATGGCTTGCTGTACGTGTCGTTTGTATCTCTTTGGCGCGTCAACAATCGCGCAACATATAGATAAAATCTTTCTGCGTACTTTTTATCGGTATGTGATAATATATATAATAAACAGTAACCGGTCAAAACAGCAACAGTAAACGTATGTTATGTTACGTGGAAAGTTTTACTAGAAATTAATTTTAGATTTGTCAAAGAATCTACAGTCAACAAGAAATATCTTCTGTGATAATCCGCAATAATTCTTTTATTGATATTATCATTATAGTACAGACACTCACACTTATTCCAATACAATTTATTAGGAAATGCGTTAATAAAATTGATAATCATAGTGATAAGAAAGAAAAAATATTGATCAAGGTGAATTGACATTTAGATTTGCCAAGCGAACGTAATATAATTTTTGCGCAAGCCGTTTGTATTAATTGCGATATGCGACGCGATAAATCTAGAATTAATAACATTGAAGATGTTATTTATAATGTACGTTGATCAGTCGCGATAAGTGCTAGATCTGAGGAAAAATTATTAACCATTTGATACTGTTAATAAAAATTCGTATCGCTTTAGTCGACCCGACGTTGTTAATCTATGGCAATTACGCGACGTTGTCTATGTATTCCTCGTATTCAAGTACGTGATATCGAGGTTATCCACACGATAAGTCCATCTTCTACATAGTTGCACTAATATTATAAGAAGAGAAAAAAATATGCAATAGCAAATACGTAGCGCTATGTATGAGCGCGAAGAAAAAATGACCGTTATCGTATCTGTCGATAACGTCTTAGCTCTAATACTTGTTTGAATAAATATTCCACGTAGCCGCGTGATTGCATGGTTATTTTCGGCGTACACCGGAATCGTGACGCAAAAATTATGCTTAGTAAAAGTCACGCGTAAGTTGATGAATGTATTTTTATCACCCTATTTCATTCACCGACAAATATCGCGCGGGCAATCATTAAAAATCATGGAATAGCGAAATAATAACATGTACAAAAGCGATAAAAATTATTAGAAGAACTGTTTTTTTTTAACGATTTTTAAGAATTTTCATCCCAGACGTAAGGCTATGCAAAAAAATGAACATTTAATGTGTTTCAGGGTTATAAATTATTTTGATTACATCTACTCCAATTTGACGGTATTCATAATCAAGGATGATAATTCCGCATCTCGTTCTTGATGAAAGTGCGCATAGGGCATAGAGTACGGTCAGGTACCCGTTTTCACGGGGCCCAAGATCCTGTTCCCTGCGAGCCCGGGTGTATTACGATGTAACTTGATACGCGTTTGATTCTATGTTATTTACGGGCAGGTGTATCGACGCAACAATGTTTATCGGCATAATTAGATTCTATACCTACGCAATCTTTATCAGGCGTCGATGAGTTGAGCCGCGGCGAAAATCATGCTTTCAGACGAACGTAGCTATACGATGATAATAATTTTCTCATACGTCTTCTCTACATTGATTTCAATCATCATTGTTGCACGCTTTTTTCCGCCTGTCCGTCAATGATCAGCAAGGCTATTTTAAGATGATTTCTCTGACATGTACGACTGTTATTTCAGATGTCTCTTCAATAACAAAAAGTAGTTTAATATGTCGTACTCGTTTAAATATGTTTTTTAATAAAAAATCAAATTGCTTGATCAAGTTTTTATATTTAAAATATCCTATTAATACAAATTAATAGAATATTATTTTTTTAAAGCGTGTGAATTGTGTGCAAAGTAATTTTCGATTATGTTGTCGCGATATAGAATGCTTTTATTAAGAATATTAATAATTTTTTTTTATTAATATGTTTTTGAAGAGATTATATTATTGTCCAATAATTTCATATATTGTAAGGTATAGATCGGTGTGATTGATTATTTGTGCTTCTCTCTCTATCTTTTTATCTGATTAATTTCATTCAAAAAGAAACGAATCTCATCGAAACAGATACACATCTCTCGAAGTACAGCCTGATAAACACACACACACAACAACACACTCGCCGATAACAATTTATGATTTCCAGTTAGAATCGTCTTTATTGAGATCATCTTTTTCATTGTAATCGTTTCCACTAACCATCGCCAGAAGCTATCATATTCTTTCGTTCATTAGCGTTTTCTGTGACTCGCCCGAGCGCATTCGAGTACCGTCGGATCACTCGCGTGCGGAAAATTAGACCCTCCGATTCGTGTGAGAGTACTCACGAGTACATACTCTGATCCTTCTCGCGTTCCTTACTTTGTGATCAGTGATCTTCGAGCTTCAAATATGTCGATGATAATTCCGCGAAGTCCATTTTCGTCTGGAACAAGAGTCTAAGCCTCCGAAGAATTTTGCTATTTAGATGGTTATTTTCTTCTTAACGCGCTCAAGAATCCTTATCTTTTGTTGCTTAAGCTTATTTATCTTCCGAAAGTATGCTTTGCAGGAGTTGCAGAAGTTTTTGGAACAAGATGTATCGCGAAATTTTATTCTCAAATCCTTTCGCTAATTTTTCTTCACTAAAATCTTAATTCGGACAATAGCAAACAACTACGAATTGTTGTGCTGACAAACAATATTTGATTATCAACATTAGCGCAAATGCCTGAGATAATTGCGATCGTAGCTAAGAATTATTAATCAATCGCAAACTAATGAGATAAAGATTAATTATTCTATTATACATTAAGCCGCAACGGCCAGAGAAAAAGTACGCGAATGAGTGTGGGCGTTATGGTCATTCTGTTTTATGTCGGTGCTCCCGCGTGTCATTAACTTACGATTAGCGGTATAATAACGGAGCGCACATCGATAAAAAAAATATATATATATTGATACACGGCAGGTGCATCAAGGATACGTCGCGCATCAGCGTTTCGTCACGATCTGCGACGCCGTTCATCGATGACGGATAAATTGCATTTATTGACTTGCGCCGGAATTAATCGTGGCCGAATAATATATTTATCTTTATAGCCCAGCCCGAGTCTTCTCCGGCACTTCGTTTAAGTAAAACGGCCTTTATCGATCGGCGATCTCTCGCTCGCGTCACTCGAGAAACGAAGGCTTGGCTCTGAGATAAAAAGCCGGCGCACTAAAGAAGCGGCCGGAAGCGCGTACCTTGCACGACTATACGCACAATGATTATGAATACATAAAGTCGTATTATCAAATGGGATTTGTTCAACAGATAACATTGGTAAAAAGCATATCTGATAAAAAAATTGCTGTCCAACACAGATATTTAAAATTTAAATTTATTATTTTTTTAGATATCATATTATTATTTTTCTAAAAATTAAAACAATATATCTGAATAGATATCTGAAATAGATGCCTAATCATTTTTATATATGAATATAATAGACATTTTGTTCGTTTAATGGAAATTATTTAGTCATATTTTAGGAGATTTTTTGAAAACTAAAATCTTACATATTGAACATATATATTGAATGCAAATAATTCATTGATTTGAAAATGTAAACAGTTACTCAGCTATATCGTTTATCATGCTGTTCAATCGTAAACCAGAATTCTAGGAAATGTGAAGTAATGGCGGATATGAGTGATTATTCCGAAAAATCTTTGAATCAAATACAGCCGAGAAA